GGTGAGAGAGAAATTAGGGGGGAGAGAAATTAGATGGGGGGTGAGAAAGAGAAATTAGTAGGGGGGAGAGAAATTGAAATTGGGAGGAGGAGAAGGAAATTGGAGCGGGAGGAGAGATTGACATTCATCACATACACACAATGCACCCCTTGCACACAGAAAAACACACAATACATTACACACACAGACACACATACACAAGCAATGCAACCGTTACACACAATGCATCCCTTACACACACAGAAACACACAATGCATTCATTACACACACTCAATGCACCCCTTACACACATTCAATGCATCCCATACATACACAAAAACACACCTTGCAGCCCTTACACATACAAACACAATTTCACACAATGCATTCCTTACACACATATCAGGACATCCCCTACACACTCCACTCCCTGTGAACAAACTCATTGGTGGAATATGAAGGTGGACCCTGGGACCCAGACCTTGAGCTGTGTAAAGGACCCCCCAAAAATGGAGCTGCTTCCCGTTCTCCCAGACTGCAGCTAGAGCCCATCATCATCCTCATCTGGTTGTAAGTAGGCAATCTAGTATATTATTTGTCGCACTAAGCTCTAATTAACCTCACATTAAAGAAACGCTATAGTCCCCAGAACCACTTCAGCTTAATGTAGTGGTTCTGGTGTCTATAGCCGGTCCCTGCAGGCCTTTTAATGTAAACACGGCGGCACTGCAGCACTGGCGTTAGTTAACATGGCAAATCATATGGGTGGGGCATTATGATGTCACATGGGGGCGGCAAAAATCCTTGCACCGGCCCTGGCTGGAGGGGGCTGTGTGAGCTGTGGCCGCACAGTGTCCCATGGTAGTTAGGGTGCCGTGCGGCCAGTACAGCTCACACAAGCAAACAGCTGATAAACTGGCCGGAGGAAATGTGTATGTGTGACTGTCTGCCTGTGACTGTCTGCCTGTAACTGAGTGTGTGACTGTCTGTCTGTAACTGAGTGTGTGACTGTCTGCCTGTAAATGTGTGTGTGGGGCTGCAGGGATTTTGTAGAAGGAGGCAGGGGTTTTGTATTGGGACAGGAGTCTTTATAAGGGGGTATAAGCAGGGGATTTGTGGAAGGGGGTTGCGGGGGTTTTGTAGACGGGGCAGTACAGGATTTGTAGAAGGGGCAGGACAGAGGTTTTGTAGGAGGGGCGGGGCAGGACAAGGGTTTTGTAGGAGGGGCTGAGAGCTGTTTTGCAAAGTTTACAAATTGTAAAAAAAAAAGAAAGAAAACCTTTAACATTTTTTACAGGTTTTTTTGGGGGGTGGGGGGGCGTGGGGGGGATCCAAATGCTCTAGGTACGCCCCTGCCTACAGGTTTAGCCATGGTTTCAGAGTTGCAAACTTTTTTTTTTTTAATTAAATTAATGTACAGTTGTGCTCAAACATTTTCATACCCTGGCAAAAACTGTGAAATTTCTGCATTGATTTTAAAACTATGACTGATCATTTAAAAATGTCTTTTATTGAAGGATAGTGATCATATGAAGCCATTTATTATCACATTATCGTTTGTCTCATTTTTAAATCATAATGATAACAGATATCACCCAAATAGCCCTGATCAAAAGCTTACATACCCTTGGATGTTTGGCATTGTTACAGACACACAAGTTGGCAAGCCTTGAAAATGCCAGTTAGTATTGTTAAATCAATTATTAAGAAGTGGAAAATTCAGGGATCTCTTGATACTAAGCCAAGGTCAGGTAGACCATTAAAGATTTCAGCCACAACTGCCAGAATAATTATTCGAAATACAAAGAAAAACCCACAAAAAGATGGTGTGGTTGTTTCAAGGAGCACAATACAATGATACTTGAACAAAAATGAGCTGCATTGTCGAGTTGCCTGAAAGAAGCCTTTATTGTGCCAATGACTAAAAAAAGCCTGGTTACAATATGCCCAGCACCTTGACATGCCTCACAGCTTCTGGCACACTGTAATTTGGAGTAACGAGACCAATATAGAGCTTCATGGTCACAACCATAAGATCTATGTTTGGAGAGGAGTCAACAAGGCCTATAGTGAAAAGAATACCATGCTGTGGAGCATTGTAATGGCTCACTGATGTTTTTTTTTGGGGGGGGGGGTGGGGGGATGAACTCTAAAGGCATGTGGAATCTTGTGAAAATGAATGGCAAGATGAATGCAGCATGTTATCAGAAAATACGGGCAGACAATTTGCATTCTTCTGCAAGAAAGCTGCACATGTGATGCTGTAGCCACAGCCGGTTCCCATATTTGCCACTATAACATCTTAAAGCATAGAACTTAGCATTGGCTAACCATACAGTTATCTTAACCATACTATTATATAGTTAGTATGAGATCCTCTATCTAAAATACATATACCGTATATACTCGTGTATAAGTCGATCTCATGTATAAGTCGAGTGCAGTTTTGTGACCAACAATTGTGAAATATGCTATGCCTCATGGATAAGTCGAGGGTAAAACTTGGGGCTATGAAATTCTGTGATTTTTATAATTATATACACACACACTCATACAAACAAACACTCTGCATTAAACACACACACTTATACAAACACACACTCTGCATTATATACACACACACACTCATACAAACACACACTCTGCATTATATACACACACACACACTCATACAAACACACACTCTGCATTATATACACACACTCTGTGTATATAATGCAGAGTGTGTATATAATGCAGAGTGTGTGTTTGTGTAGTGTGTGTGAACTGGGTGGGGGGGGCATTTTTGTTATTTAAATTTTTTTTTTATTTTAATATTATTATTTTATTATTATTTAAATTTTTGTTTTTGTCCCCCCCCTCCCTGCTTGTTAACTGGTCAGGGAGGGTGGCTATCTTAATCCCTGGTGGTCCAGTGGCATGGGCTGTGATGTGGGGGGGCCAGCAGGAAGCATTTACTTACCTTTCCTGCAGCTCCTGTCAGCTCCCTTCTCCTCCGTTCCGGTCAGCTCCACTGTAAGTCTCGCGGTCTGGTTTCCGCGCGGATCATTGCCATGGCTCTGACGGCCGCGGATCTCTAAGTTGCCATAATACAGACAGTGACTCGAGTATAAGTCGAGTGGGGGGTTTTAAGCACAAAGAATGTGCTGAAAAACTAGACTTATACTCGAGTATATACTGTAAATAATTAAGAATACAATAAAAAATAAGGATTGTCTTGGAA